TACCATCAAGTTCATCACTTTATTCATCGAGTACTTTATCATCAAGTTCATCATTTTATTCCCCTAGTACTGTACCATCAAGCTCATTTTCGTATTCGACAAGCAGTGTACTTTCAAGTTTATCACCTTATTCTTCCAATATTTTAGCTTCAAGTTCATCACCGTTTTCTTCTAGTATTGTACCATCTAGTTTATCACAATACTACTACGGGAGGAGTGCGTCATCAGCGACATCAGAATTTTCCTACAGGTATTATCTTTCAAGTTCATCACAATATGTTTGGATGACTGTTCCATCAACTTCATCCATATATACCCCTAGCAGGGTTTCCAGTCTGTTTTCAAGCAGCGCACTTGCTATTACTTCCAATTTTCCTTCAACCGTCACACTATATTCTACTATGCTGGTAAGCAGTTCTGCATATAGTCCTTTTACTGTGTCTGCAAGCAGCACATCAAACCTTGCTTCTATGACAATTTTACCAAAAAATAGCTTTTCTACTATGTCAACCCAAAACAATTCACCGTACACTCTCTCTGAAATAACACCTACCAACACACCAGGAGACACAATGACTTCAAACATTTCTCCAAGTAGCTACTTCCTTTCAAGTTCTTCAGCTATGTCAACCATCAGCACGCCATCTAGTGCCTCTTTTCAGACAGAAGGCAAAATATCACACAGTTCTCCTATTGTTTCTTTAAGCAACAGCGACTTTGCAGTTACTTCAAGTGAAATATTACATGTTTCTGTTACTTCGACAATTGTCACGCAAAAAAGTGCGTCTAAAGTATCCTCGGGAACATTATCACTCAGTTCCAAAGTATCGTATTCAAGCAGCTCGTCGTATAGTTCCACTGCATTGACCGCAAATGGCAGCACACGACACATTGTTCCAGCAGTGAATTCAACAATAATGCCACATACCTCAACTGTGCATCAGTCAAGCAACATCTCCACCCTCTCAAGTCAAAGTGAAATCTACTTTATTTCATCTTCAGCTACTGCAAGATATACTCCAGCTGTCTTGCCAACAAACACCGTTTATTTGGTTTCTTCCAACAGCAGTATTGCCAATTTTTCATCGTCGTCAGAAAAAGGTACAACTTTCAGCGATATAGCGGGGTCAGCTAGCATTACTCAATACCGTTTAACTACGCTGTCATCTATTCATTCAAATCCATCAAAATATTCTATATTTCCCACACATTCATCATTCGCACAATATTCCTTGAGGAACACGCCTTCATTTTATTCAAACTCCATTTCTCCAAGTACATTAGAATATTCAACAAATACAGTGTCTTCATTAACAAACTCCTACAGCAAAATGTCTTCAATTGTTTCCATATATTCTCCAGTTATTAAGCTTTCAAACGCATCACAACATTTCTTAAAAAGCATAAGTACAAGTTCTTCACAATATTCATTGAGCAGCATAATTTTAGACTCATCTTACATTATACCATCACCATTTTCCATAACCACCGTCTCTTCAGATTTGCCATTGTCTTCTTCAAGTAGTGCGTTTTCAAGTTCATTAGATTTTTCCAACGCCCAACTGCCAAGTAGCGTCTCAGCAACGCTATCAACATACCTTTCGACAAGTATACGAACTTTGGATTTATCAGCACGTTCATCAACTATCATAAATACAAACGCCTTACAACAGTCAAGCAACTTGCTTTCAGGAATATCAAAATATTTTTCCAGCGTATTAACCTCAAGTTCTACAGAGTACCCGTACAGCACTAAACATTCGAATTCCCTGAACTTTTCATCAAATACACTACCAGGGTTCATAATAAGTATCCCCTCAAGCGCAACTCCAAGCACTTTACCTTCAAGTTTATCACAGCAGTATATGAGTACCATTCTTTCAATTTCGTTAAGAAATACTCCAAGCAACGCCTTGTCAGAAATAAGTAGTATCCTATCAAGATCATCTGTGTATTCTATATATTCCGCACCTTCAAGAAGTATACCTTTAAGTTCACCTGAAGGTTATACTACCACCATACCTGTTTTAAGTTCGTTGGGTTATTTGTCAAACATCGTATCTTCGAATTTCTATGTTACGAGAACCACCTCCTCGAGCTCATTTGTATACCCAACGAAGCCCAACACGTCTCAAAGTTCATCAGAACATCGTGGGATCGTCACACCTTCAAGTTCATTAGAATATTCTTCAAACAGTTTGCCTTCAGATTTCTCGGCATATTTAACAAGTAACACTCCTTCCAGCTCATTTGTACCTTCTACAAATGCCATGCCTCCAAGTCCATCACAATATTATGTAAGCGTCACCCCTTCAAGTTGGTTAGAACATTCTTCAAGCAGTGCACAATCAGATTTCTCGGCTTATTTATCAAGTACCACTTCTTCAAGCTCATTTGTATCTTCCACAAATGCCCTGTTTCGAAGTCGATCAAAATATAACGTAAGCGTCACACCTTCGAGCTCGTTAGAACATTTCTCAAGCAGTCTACAATCAAATTTCTCGGCTGATTTATTAAGTATTATTCCTTCGAGCTCATTTGTATCTTCCACAAATCCCCTGTTTCGAAGTCGATCAAAATATAACGTAAGCGTCACACCTTCGAGCTTGTTAGAACGTTCCTCAAGCAGTGTACAATCAAATTTCTCGACTTACTTATCAAGTACCACTCTTACGAGCTCATTTGTATCTTTCACAAATGTCTTATCTCCAAGTCCATCACAATGTTATGTGAGCGCTACATCTTCAAGTTCGTTAGAACGTTCTTCAAGCAGTCTACAATCAGATTTCTCGGCTTATTTATCAAGTATTAATCCTTCAAGCTCACTTGTATATTCTACAAATGCCCTTTCTCGAAGTCGATCAAAATATAAGGTAAGCGTCACACCTTCGAGCTCGTTAGAACGTTCCTCAAGCAGTGCACAATCAAATTTCTCGGCTTATTTATCAAGTATTAATCCTTCAAGCTCACTTGTATATTCTACAAATGCCCTTTCTCGAAGTCGATCAAAATATAAGGTAAGCGTCACACCTTCGAGCTCGTTAGAACATTCCTCAAGCAGTGTACAATCAGATTTCTCGGCATATTTATCAAGTATTATTCCTTCAAGCTCATTTGTATCTTCCACGAATGGATTGTCTCCAAGTCCATCACAATATCATGCAAGTGTCACACCTTCAAGTTCGTTTGAACATTCTTCAAGCAGTCTACAATCAGATTTCTCGACCTACTTATCAAGTACCACTCTTACGAGCTCATTTGTATCTTCCACGAATGGATTGCCTCCAAGTCCATCACAATATTATGTGAGCGCCACACCTTCAAGTTCGTTAGAACATTCCTCAAGCAGTCTAAGATCGGATTTCTCGTCTTCTTTAACAAGTAGCATCAACTCAAGTTCATATGAATCTTCTACAAATGCTCTTTCTCGAAGTTCATCGCAATATTTTGCGAGCGTCACAGAACATTCCTCAAGCAGTTTCCAGTCAGATTTTTCATCTTATTTAACGAGTACCATCCTTTCAAGCTCATCTTTATCTTCCACAAATGCCCTGCTTCCAAGTCCACCACAACATTATACGAGCATCACACCTTCAAGTTCGTTAGAACATTCTTCAAGCAGTCTACAAGCAGATTTCTCGACCTACTTATCAAGTACCACTCTTACGAGCTCATTTATATCTTCCACATATGGATTGTCTCCAAGTCCATCACAACATTATACGAGCGTCACCCCTTCAAGTTGGTTAGAACATTCTTCAAGCAGTCTACAAGCAGATTTCTCGACCTACTTATCAAGTACCACTCTTACGAGCTCATTTGAATTTTCCACGAATGGATTGTCTCTAAGTCCATCACAATATTATGTGAGCGCCACACCTTCAAGTTCGTTAGAACATTCCTCAAGCAGTCTACGATCGGATTTCTCGTCTTCTTTAACAAGTAGCATCCCCTCAAGTTCATATGAATCTTCTACAAATGCTCTTTCTCGAAATCTATCACAATATTTTGCGAGCGTCACGGAACATTCCTCAAGCAGTTTCCAGTCAGATTTTTCATCTTATTTAACAAGTAGCATCCACTCAATTTCACCTGTATCTGCAAAAAATGCCACGCCTCTAAGTCCATCAAAACATTTTGCGATTGTTACACCTTTGTTAGAACATTCCTCGAGCAGTTTCCGGTCAGATTTCGCATCTTATTTAACAAGTATCACTCGTTCAAGTTCATCTGCATCCTCCAAGGAGACCATATCTTCAAGACTTCCAGAGTATTCAATAACCAAGATAGCTTCAAGTTTACCAGAGTACTCTCCAACTTTAATCAAAACACCTCCAGGTTCACGTGAAATTGATTCGTCATCTATCGTTATAACATCTTCTGTATCTTACACTAACGACAGTGATCTTCAAACATCGCATTCAAGCACTACAACTCCCGTTAGTAACAACATCCAGTCATCAATAACCAGCCATTCCAGTTCACGTACTCTACTTATAAATCCCTTGTCCTCAACGACGAACACGCATACGTCTGGTTTACACATTTCCCCATCCACTGCAAGTGCATTGCAAGTTTCCATTTCTTTCTTCGTAAATGCAAGCGTTTCTCTGAACTCAACGACACACAACAGTAAGAAAACTAAAAATATTATTTATTAAAAAAATGCAGCTAGCGTTTTCGTCCCATGAATTCTCGGTCGTAAGTGACAGAGAAAAACTGGAAGCAAAACACTCCTGGGAGCATATTGAGGGTACTCAAACCAGAAAACTTGGGTACTATTTTTCGAATAATACCTTTCATTTTGTAGATAATTTTCATTTGTATTCACTTACTTGCAGCAAATAGCACAAAGAATAGCACAACAGAGTATCGTCCAACATCTCCTTGGTCTGAATGGAGTTCTTGTGACAAAAGTTGTGGGGGAGGCGCACGGCATCGTTTTCGTTATTGCTCTAAACAACTTAGCAGTGGAATCAGTTGTCATCCCACTGAAAGTGAGGGATGTAACTTTCAGCAATGTCCAAGTAAGGGAAACAATCACTTTGCGCTACATAAACGACTAGTTCAAATAAACCATAACATTGTTTTGCTTATCTAACTTATCTATCTATCTATTTGACTAAGAAAAAGACTGAAGAGCGAAGTTGTTTCTCTTTTGAAGGTAGTACTGATGCAAAGCGGCGTGGACCTAAGGCGTCTTAATATGTTATATTATAGACCAAACCACTTTGGGCGTTATGATTTCCCGTTTTAGACCACGTGTCATTCCCTAGAGGAACATTTCTTTTTGGAAACTACTCAAACATAAAAGTCTTATTCTTTCTAAGGGAAATACAGTTCGTAAGTGTCCTTCTCATCGTACTCGATAATAACTGAACCTCAGGGACTTTTGTTTGTATTGAATTCACTGATTTTTTTTTTGGCCGTTCTCGGTTCACTAGTTATCAATTTTTACTACTATAACTGTATTAATTATTATTATACTTAAAAAGCGCAAATTAGCATAAAAAGGGGACAGTGAATTTGGTCCATTGTAAACGTTACTTACATGATTTTGCTATCGAAATGTGTGTGTAGTAAATGGTGGTTGGACACTATGGAGTACTTGGCAGAAATGCAACAAACCATGTGGAGATGGATTGCAGTTTAGAAAGCGAATTTGTTCTAACCCGGAGCCACAGTATGGTGGTGCAAGTTGCGTAGGAAAAGGTGAAGAATCAAGGCCATGCGAAGGAAATGCTCCATGTCCAAGTATGTGACTATTAAATCTTCTAATTTTGACAATAGTTCTATTGTACTGACTGTCTTTTTTCTGCTCACATCTTAGATTTAGGCTCTCACCCGTCAAATTTACAATGATTCTGTACTTGCTCATTTTCGATAGTCGGAAGTTGAGGGAGACATGATAAGTGCATTGTCTCATACCTTAGCTTTCCTTCTTTTTTGCAGAGGTCATGACAATGTACGTAATCAGATTACTGGATGAAACATGGAATGATGCACTAACCAGTCTCAGCTCTCCTGAAAGCAAAAATCTGATCCAAAAGTTAAGATCGAATGTAAGTATACTTACACAGACTTGCATAAGAAAAAATAGACGTACACAATAATAACAAAAAAAATTTTTTTTTAAATTAAGAAAGGGTTTTAAATATTAAATAAGCAATAACGAGGACGACGACAAAAACATTTTTTCGCAGAATCATTGGTAAATGCATTTGCTCTTTTCAGGTTAATAAGTATTACGATGGCGAAAATGTGATGGCTGATTTTGTTGTTATCCAGTTCAGGTAAGTTAAAACATTTTGCCCTTAACATCTAATTTTTTCACGTCGCTGCATTATTGATCTCTTAACACAATTCTTATATTTATCTTAAAGCATTTATACTATTTATATATCTTTTTATCTCTTTGGTAAAAACTAATACCAATAATAGTATGGTATATTTTTGTTTCAACTTTTTTAGGCCAGGAAGCGTAATAGCTACTTTTAACATCACATACGAATTCGTGGACTCGTTACAAATTCTGAAAGTGCAAGAGGATTTGACATCCGGAAAACTAAACAATTTGAATGCGCAGCTTATGGACATAATACCAATAATCGGTAGGTATATAACACCATAGAGCAACATCATAAACTTGGTTTTGATATTCAACTGTTTAATTATTTTTGGACGATAAGCTACGCTGTTTCTTTTAGCATACAAAGAAGAAGGGAAAGGAAGAACTTGACTGGAAAGGAAGAACTTGACTAGAAAAGAAATTAGGAATCTTTAAGATTTTGAAGAATTGGAATTTTTGAACAAAAAAGGAAGTTCGAAAGGAAATATTCGTTCAAATTTATCATTTTACCTTATGATGTGTCGAATCGAAAGTTGTGAACGTTACTTTTGGAGAAATGTTAAATATGCACATTCATTATAACTATTTGAAAGACAAGACCTAAACAGTTAAACAAAGAGTAAACTATTTTTAAAAACATATTAGTTCCCAGTCAGGCCCCAAACATCACCTACGCTAATCACATAAGCTCAACGGGGATTAGAATCCAATGGACAGCGGTGGCTGCAGAGTTCCTCGGTGGCGCCCCTCTCGCTGGCTACGTTATATTTTACAAGGAAACCAGTTTGAAATTTGAGCAAAATAGGCAGAAAAAGGTTCCTCCAGGCGTAACCCAGGCAGAAATCAATGGATTGAAGAAGTTTTTTTCTTACACGATGAGAGTTTTGGCTTATACTGCAAATGGTAATGGAATAGCAAGTGATCCTGTTGTGATCTCTACTGATGAAGACAGTGAGTATCAATCTCAAGATTTTTGTTATAAAATTAGAGAAACTGAAAAGTCGACAATGAAGCATTTGACATTTACCTCCCTCCCTCCCTTCCTCCCGCCCCAAAACCTACTTCATTGTTTACTTGCTGCTTGCTTTGCTTAGTCAAGTGTCATATTGGTTGATATGTTTGAAGTTAATCAAGTATTGCATTGGCTCAAAAAAAATCGCTTTCACAAATTTTCAGGGCCAAGCCTTGAGCCTCAAAATGTCCTTGCCAAGCCGCAATCATCTACATCAATAACAGTCACTTGGGATCACATACCAGAAGATATGATCCACGGTATTCTACAGGGTTACACTATCTTCTATAGAGCAATAGACGAAACCTCTTTTAGTGAGATGAATGTTGGCGCAACTGATATCTACGCTCGAGTTCCAGACCTTCGCAAGTACACGTTCTACTTGGTGTCGATCTGTGGCAGGACGTCTAAAGGTTGTGGCGTTAGAAGCCAAACTGTCATGGTCCGAACGTTAGACGATGGTAAATGTTTTTTTACTGTTGGATTTTGAAATAATAAAAAATATATATAATTTCTCAATAATGTACCTCTGGACTTTGCTCGGGAACCCATTTTAGTGTTTCAAGTTAGTTGTCCTGAAGTGGTACTTGGCATAATTACTGAGTGATTTTTATGTATTCTTAATCACTCTAACTGGTGCTCTAAACGCATCTTTTTGCATATGGTAATTTTAAAAGCGAGTTTTTCTTGTGAAATAGAAATAAATGAATGCAAATTGCATCACATTGCTATTTGGAAATTTACGCTGTCACAATTAATAAATTTCAGGCATCTACAAGCGGTGAATTTTATGGCTAATATTTTCTATTAAATTCTATTTAGTTAAAGCTTTTACGTTTTACACAAAAAATAAGTCGTATAATTTTTCGTTTTTTAGCTCCTTCCTTACCACCAGCAAATGCTTTCGTTCAAAATCTCACGTCAACCACCGAGCTGCAGATTAGCTGGGGCCAAGTACCACGTGGTCACGTTAATGGGGACCTGATTGGCTACGTACTCAAGTATAAGCTCTTAGTATGGATGGATGAGGACATGTACTACGAAGAAGAGAGAGAAAGAATATTTGGACCAAATGATTATTCTACTACACTAAACCAATTAAATGTTGACGGAATCTATAGACTGGGCATTGCAGCTTTCACAAGGATAGGAAGGGGACCATTTGCTTATGTTTATGGAAGTAAGTTCTGAGTTAAATTATTTAAATAATAATGAAGACCTTTGATGTTCAGGTATACTTTGGCAACTACACAACACAATTTCTTTTGCTGTGTTACTAATAACTCGTTCTGGCTGACATTTATAAAAAATCCTACATTTCCTTGACCTCCTTTTTTAGCATGACTTGACATTATCGTTGCTTTTGAATGTATCGTACTCAGTTAGTGCCTTTAAAAAATTGTTGCTGTTCTTGTTATATATCTTTTCCCCGTATACATCACGCAACACCTTTCCTGAGTAAATGCGTAATTTATCATCATTTTTTACATTTGCCAGAGACTTGCAGATGTCCTAAAGTCTTATACACAAACTACTGGAACTATCAACCGTATACAAGAAAGCTCTCTAGTGGAGCGATTGGAGGGCTCTTCCCTGAAATTGTCTTCAAAATGACTGAATGGGCTTGCGGCGTGTGTACCAATGGTCATGGGAAGACTATGATCAATACACTAGCAAACGGCAAAGGACGTGCCTCATTCAAATCTAGCAATATTGATCTGTTAAATGATATCGACGATGTTCCTGAAATCAGCTTTCCAGTCCATGGGACTAAGTACATGAGTAAATATGGAGGTTCCTACAAATACGTACACTTGATCGATTCACCTGGGATAGCTTTTATCACGGTGGCCGAGCCACCAGATTCCTCTTCATTGGCTGTTATGCAGTCTATATTTGATTGCTTTCCTCTTCTCCTCATTGCTTTGTCTATGGCATTTATGGCAGGGGTCGTCATATGGATTCTGGTAAGTTGATTGTTATTGTTACTTATGATAAGATATACTTTTTTGGGTTTTGCAGTTCATTAAATTTGTCCACGGAAATAGTAGAAGAGAAAAATTTTCGAAAACAGATTTAACTTCTTACAGTATTTTCAACGCAAATAACTGTACTTTCATAGGCCAGCTATTATTTTCTTTAACGCAGATTTTTTCTCATGGTTTTTCCATTAAATGTTTTAGGAATCAAGAGATAATCCCGAGCAGTTTCCGACTAGTTTTGTTAAGGGAGTAGGTGAAGGATTTTGGTGGTCATTCATTACTATGACAACCTTAGGGTGAGTACATATGACACATTGATCTGTAAGCCTTTCGTTGTATTAAAGTGTCATAGTATCAAAGAAGGGAATCGAGTTAAGAATTGTTTAGCAGCGGTAAAACAATCACCTAGAGGTCATCTCTAGACTTTCAAACTCGATTCTTGGGCTGGGTATAATATGTGAGGAAATCGTGTTGGGTCTCTCTCTCGATTTGCACTATGGTTTTTCTCCACACAGTAAATCGGATAGGACGGTTTTGACCCCTATAGTGGCCTCCTTAAAGTAGGGCTATTTTGGCACTACCGGTAGGGGCCATTTTTTTAAACTTTGATTTTGGGACTGTTTTAGCCCCTTATGTGATTTTTTCCCCTGATTTGGCCTAGTTGAGGGTGCCAAAACAGTACTGATAGACCCATACCAAAATGGCTTCTGTGGGGCCAAAATGGCATTGTTCTATTTTGGCCTTAGCCTGGGCTAAAATAGGACTACTTTGAAAAATCCAAAATGGCTCTCTGGGGCCAAATTGGTCCTCTCAAATTGACTGTGCAGGTTCCCTTCCTCCGCAAAACATATGCCAAACTCCAATTCGATCCATGAGCACTAGCACTAGCCGTATCCTGACTTGATTCAAGCCAGGTTTGTTTCAGGATTCGATTTGCTAGTATATGCCGTGCCCTGACTTAGATCAGTCTAGACGGTTTCGAGTTGGCTGTTGGTTGGTCGGTTGTTATCCTTTGTTATGGCCGCGTAAAAACTGGGGCGAAAGCCACACGTTTCGGTTTTTAAGATCGCCCTCAGTCCCGCGCGGCTATTTTCGCTCGGCAATGCTCAGCAATGGACAAAAAAAAAAAAGGAGTGAAAACCACCCTCAAACGGCTCAGATCAACCCAGAGAATACCTCAGGATTTGACTTGTAAGATAGTCGTGCCCTGCCTTTGATAAGCCTAGAGGTTGTTTCAGGATTTGATCTGTGAGTTAGCCGTGCCCTGACTTAGATCAGCCCAGAGGTTGTTCCAGGGTTTGATCTGTGAGTTAGCCATGCCCTGACTTAGATCAGCCCAGAGGTTGTTTCAGGGTTTGATCTGTGAGTTAGCGTTGCCCTGACTTAGATCAGCCCAGAGGTTGTTTCAGGGTTCTATCTGTGATTTAGGCATGCCCTGACTTAGATCAGCCCAGAGGTAGATTCAGGGTTTGATATAATTGATAATTGATTTATTTCATTGTAGATATGGTGATCGAGCTCCTGTTACCATCCTTGGTCGTCTCTTTGGAATATTTTGGACTTTAGCTGGCTTAGTGGTTTTGTCTGTTGTGGTTGGTGCAATCAGCTCTTCCCTAGCAACCGTCTCCATGGATACCAATGTACCACTCTACGGAACTAAAGTAAGAATATTTGTTTGTTGTATTTATATTTTATGCAACTAATAATGCAAAAGATAATAATAATGATGACGATAACGATGATTCACGATGCTGCAGATGATGACAATTATAATACACACTTTATTTACTGAGGATGATGGTCAACGACTATGATGAAGATGACAAAGATAATGATGATGGTGATGAACATGATGATGTTGATGATGGTAATGATTACGACGACGATGATGATAATGACTATGATGATAATGATGATGAAGATGATGATGCTATAAAACTAATAATTATCGTTTATACCAATAAAGTACTTTCTAGTGTTGGAACATTAAGCTCTATCCTGTGTTAAATATTACTTTAAGTTTTGATTTGCTGAGAGGGGGGAGCTACTCTTCAAAAGCATGTAGACATCGATATTATTTGCTGATCATTTTTTATTACTTTGCATGTTTTTTAGATCGCCGCTTTTCAAAATTCTTCTGAGCACCAGTACGGCGTTCTGAAAAACTCCAAAATGAATACAGGTAAGATAGGCTAACCAACGTAAGTAACTTGCAACAGCTTGCATTCACAAACTCATGGAGAAAGAAAGCGCGTTGTCTCTAGCCGCAATATAGTTCATGCCTGGGATTGAATTGTCGAATCTCGACTGAACTGCATGTGGCGTGAGTTTAGTTTGTTTTGTGATATGTTGTTTTCTGCGCGCCTTGCCAAAATTAACATACGAATTGAGTGTTGTGTTTCGTAAATAGTGAATGTAGTAGCGTTAATTAATATGCGTCGGTGTGGAGCCAATATGACGGAAGAGCCTTCACGGGGAGTGATGTTTGTAAAATACAATTATTGTTCTAAATCCAGAGCAACAGTACGAAAGCATCGAGGCAATTCAAAAAGCATTGGTTGACCGAGAAGTAAAAGGCGCTCTTATCGATACGTATGTGGCAGCCGAGAACAAGGATGTATTGTTCAGTGATGAAGACATCACAGTGAGTAAACTGATTGACTCCTCGTTCGGATACGGTGTCGTTCTTTCCGGAGCTGGTGTCTTCATCGAGAATCGCTGTCGCGATTACTACAAAAAAAATCGCAAAGAAATCTTTGACTTGGTCCAATCAAACACCGACGAAATTGAGGTGAGTAAACCACAGCCAACCCAGACTAGATAAACCTAACTGAAAATAAATTCTAAAGGACATTTTTATTGAAGTTTGATTAAATTATAAAACCAGTCAAACATATGCGCATGCGCCAAAGCAAGTAGGTGAGCCCGCAACTTTACCCAAAACCGCTGACTCGTTTTTTAATCCTGTCATCATAAACACCTAACTTAGTGTGTATATATACAACATGGGTGGGAAATCAAACACCGAAGACATCGCGCAAGTAAAAATCCACAGGAAGCCCACCCTATATTAAAGCTAAAAACGACGGTCTTATTTTTTTAACCATATATTAAGATATTCGTCAATTCATTGGCCTCGCTACATCATAGGGTAAACGCGCACTGTGAACCTGCAAGTGGGTTCATTTTGCAGAGGAATAAAAAGCGGGAGAACCCGAAGAAAAACCCTCCAAGCACAGGGAAGAACCGATAATCAACTTATATGTGAACTGACCAAAACAGCAATTAGATGAGAGCCAGCGCATTAGCATGGAACACCTTTTTGGACAAGGTTAAAAATAACTTACTCCAAAAATGCGCCTAAAACGTCCTATATAATTGATATTTCTCTCGGTTCCTTTAATTTACTCGCTCCAAAAATAAAGCAATCATATTTACTTTCCTATGGCTAACAAATTAAAAGTCTAATAAGCATGCTCAATATATTACAATTTTTAAATTTACATTTGAACAGAAAAAAAAATATTAACAATTTCATTGTTCTTTTTGCATTTTTAGGCCCCAGCAGTGCCCGGATCAGTACAGAAAAGTTCAGGCTTATTCAATCCGAATTCTCCATTAATAAAAATGTCCTGGTTGGGGACGTCTTGTGGCTTGATACTTGGTATACTGGCAGGCCTTTATTGGCACTATGCAGTGTACAAGAAACAAATTAAAGAGCTCGAAAATAAATGTAAGGTCACCAAAAATAGATTGCTGCTTGATAGACTTATGGAAAAAAATATTTCTTAATCAATAGTTTTCTTTTCTTTTCTTTCCTTCGTTTGATTAGTTAGGTATTGTTTTATTGATTACCTTGGTTATATGTCGATCTTTTGACGTTTTATGGTTTGACATTTTTGTGTGTATTTTTCGCATTTTCTATTATGTATTTTTTATTTGTTAATATTGGTTGTTTCTGTCTTATTTTCTTTCGTTATTTATTCGTGTGTGCTTTTAATTCGATATTCATTGTTTTATGGAATACTTTCGTTCCCAGTCTCTTTTGGCATTTTGTTTTCCTTGTTTGTTCAACTACGTTTCATTATAAATTTCTGATTTTTTTTTTTTTTTTAATTTGTTCTTCTCCTTTTCACTTGTTTTATTCCTTTTTGTCGATGATTGGTTTACGGTTAATGATTCGTCTTCGTATAATTTAATTCCTGTTATTCATTTTAAATCTTTTATGTCGAGAAAAGAAAATTCCAGATGCCTTAGAAAGATGGGGAAAAAAAGCCTTTTATTTTCATTCCATTTTCGTTAATCTGTTTTCATTTCACTAACAGACAGGTGACGAAACAAATTCACAAAAAGTTATTACTTTTTCCTTTCTTATAATTAAGAAGGAGCGCCATTTTTAATTTTCTTGATCCATTTCTTTGTAATACTTGTGTTAATGACCCAATTTTCATACAAGCTCACAAAGCGTGTGAGCGTTTGTAATTGACCGAAACGATTAGGGAAAAAAAACCAACTAGAAAATATTAATTTGTGAAAACATTCAATCTTATTTCCTTAGCTTAACAAAATCTTTGCCGGGTGTATTCATTTTCCTAAATCTATCCTTTCCTCGTATTCTAAAGGCCCATTTAGTTCGGTTGTGCTTTAATACTTTCGTGCGCTATTCCCTTGCTTATTATTTCATTTGTTTAACATTAGAGACTCAGAAGACAGGTTGATATTGGATAAGAATCAAATTTGAGCTAGAAGAAAAATTAAACATGTGGTCTGAAATGGAAAACAATAACCATACCCAATCTACAGTATAAGGCCCCGTCCACACGTATCCGCAAATTTTTAAATCCGCAAATGTTTTTTTGCGGATACGGGTTGCGTCCACACGTGTCCGCAAATTTTTGTGTTCGTATCCGCAAATTTTACGAAAACGGATACGTGTGGACGGTGAAAACGATTCGGATACGCTGCGTGTGGACGCAAACATTTTCKTATCCGCAAAAAATAATTGGCGGATACACAATTTTCCGGATACGTGTGGACGGGGCCTAACATCATCCTATCCATGCTATATTAATTTTACTAACATATTATTGCCAGTATCTATACATATGTATGTAAAACATTAATTTATTAGCCAACATCCGAAAGACGGTTTACCTGTAATAAGGAGGTTAATAAATAAATCTAATCTAAATCTATACCAACGTCATTGTACGAAACAAATTAATGTTTAAAGATCAAAGGCTTTACTAAAGGTGTAAAAATTGATTATAAATTTCATTATTGGAAATAATCCCAAATATTGGCTACGGCCAGTTCACACTGACACCCATTGATGTTATTTTCTACATTATTTTTTCCTTCTTTATTTCAGTGGAAGTTAACAAAGAAGAGATTGAAAAAAATCTACAGTACAAAGCAATCGTAATTAAAGAGTTGACTACAATGCTGGAAGACTTCCACTCCAAGATGAACAGTCTTGAAAAACAAAGAAAATTACACAAACAGAAGTGTCAATTGTGTTCTAAAGAAAATGATGTTGCATCTTTTTGTAGTCTGAACACTACAAGCTCACACTATTACTGTTAAGATATTTAAAACACATTTTGAACATACTTACTGTAACTGGGTAAAATATTATTACTATATTATTATATTAATATTTATGGCATATCGAACATGGGAAGTTCGATCTTAAATAAATAAATAAATAAATCACTTTATTTAAGTGTCTAGTCGTTCTAGCGCTTTCGCACTAATTGGGGACACTTTTCGCTCACACGCACTACCACTACATTTAATATTCTATGCACACAATGCTCAACTCACATGTTGATTTTTACGGAGGGAGGAAACCGGAGAACCCGGAGAAAACCCTCGTAGCATAGGAGAGAACAACACATCAAACAAACTCAATTCACATGTGGCGACCGCAGGGCTCGAACCAGCGACCCGACCCGTTGGACTCACAGCGGTGAAAGACGACGCGTTAGCCGCGAACGCCACCCATGCTACCCGTTATCGTATTATCTGTTATCGTATTTTGTTATGTATATGAAAGGAAAAAATAACGAATTACAGCCTCTTCTCATTTGAGGCAGGTTTTAAGTCTGTTAGACTTTTGAAAGTAAAAAATGGTTTTCAAACCTGATTATCAGGCTCTAAACCCGGTTGGGGCCTGATACTCAGGTTAATGGCCCTCAAACCATGCTAACCTATCGCGAACTTAACCGCAAATATTTTTCTTCAAATTGGTATCTTTATTCAATGTCCTGACAAACGATCCTAACATTAAATTTGACCCCAACATTTAGCCCACTTTTATTAAATGTTGGGTCAAATATTGGGTCAAAATATTGGATAAGGTTGCCTTGTCAAATGTGGTGTCAAAAGGTTGCCTGGTCAAATGTTGAGTCAAGTGTTGGCTAAATGTTGAGTCAAGTGTTGGATCAATTTTTGGCAAAATGTTGGGTCAAATTTTGGACGCAATGTTGAGTCAAGTGTTCGTCCAGATGTTTTGACCGTTTGTCAGGACCGTTACATACACCTCCAACATTGCCGTATGTTTTTGCTATTTCCTTATTCTGCTGGGGGATTATTGCAAACGACTGGCTTCTAAAGAACCAGATAGTTTGCGGTTATTTAGCATCATTATATTAACTAATATTGGTTTATTTTATATTATTAACCAAGAATATTAAAGATATGAAAAAAAAGTTGAACTATCTCGAAAAAGCTCTCTGCCTAAAACTAAAATTTAATCTTAATAAAAAAAAACGTAAATTTATCTATAAATAAAAGCTAAGGCCTATAAATTTGAATATTTGCGCCTCTTTTTCATCACTTAAAAAAGCTTATTACGAAGTAATATTACAATTATGCTGGACTCAATAGATATTAAATGTAGTTAATTGGTTTCGTTATTTGGCCTTAAAATTGCATACTGATAAAAGACGTAAAGCTAAAAAAGCAATAAGGTTTATTAACACTACTCGGGCAGTGGGCAGTCAGGGGCTAAATATATTGGGGATCTCCAGGTAACATATCTCCAAATAACATATTGTTATCCAAGACAGTAATTTTCTTCTTTTATTTTGATAATTGTAGCGTGCAAACTTTTTTATTCGAAGAAAACCAATTTCGAACGTTTTCATTTTACTCTCACTCAGCTTAAGTTTGCTTCTCAGTCTAAGCTGCAGCTGCAGCTTTAGTATAAGTTGGCTATGGAATCTGATCAAGTGTGAATTCAAACCTTGAAGCCTTGAACACCGGCAAGCTGACACAAAATATTCATCACTTTTTTTAAAAAAGAAAAAAAAAAAAAGTATGGACAAATGGAAACGACTAATTCTTTTCAGTGGTTTGCTGTGTCTTTCAGGAACAGTGGGTAAGTTTGCGAAATTTTGCGTTATTTTGTACTTTGCTTCTCATTTGTCGGTTTTCATATAGAGAACATTTCAATGATACATGTCTAAAAAAGAATTGATTAATAAAAGTTTTTTATTTCTGAAGTATTTCATATATAAATATTTATAGAATTGACAAATTCTATTTTTCTCTCTTTTATCTTTGGCTTTCCCTTTCTATATCTAGCTGCTCGTAATCTTGAAAATGTAAATACAATGCATCATATCTGAGAGGATTCAACAATCTTAGAATAAGGAAGAAAAGGGATATGCCATAATAGCTTCTCAAATGTTCTTCTTTTCAGTTGCTCATGACAATGAAGCTACAAGTGCATGTAAGAACTACGAAACGCTTCCATTGAATTGTGTCGAAAGTCATGTCTATATTCTTGGCGTACCTTCCTTCGGAAGGCCTTGGTATTTATATTCTAAAATAAACGAATATGGATATAAATGTACACACAGCAATTGTGCCAACATAATCAGTCAAACATGGTATGTTCTTAACGAGTATTCTAGTATCCGTCGAATCCCAATRATAAACTCTGGGTTTATGACAATTTCGCAAAGGTTTTTACAGTCGTCGAAAAATAAGGTGGGAGAAAGAGAGAGAGAGAGAG